TAAACATAAAATATTGCGGCGCCACTACGGGCGTGCCCAATGACCGCGTGTATTAGGGTGCTTTCACATGGAGCGTAAATTGCGTAGCGTAACTTGCGTATCACCAATCACAGGATCATGCTGATAAAACCGTTTCAATAATTCCGTTGAACTAGTCCTGTGATTGGCGATACGCAGGTTACGCTACGCAACTTACGCTCCATGTGAAAGCACTCTTAGAGTTGCGGCGCTACTGCGGGCGCGACCAATGAGCAACGAAGAAGGAGAACGTCGGTGGCTCCCCTGCTCAATCTCTCTGACGAGAACAACGGACAAGCGTTAGGGCTCCTTTGTACTGACGAGAGCTATAAAGCTGAAATTTCATGCGAGCGAAGAAAAGCTGGCTTTTACCCCCTCTCATCGATTTTCGATGAAAATGGCTGATTCAGCGAAAACACGCTAAAACTTCGATTCATTCGAACTTTCAGCTTTCAGCTGAAAGTTCACGGTCAAACACGGGGTCGATAGAATATTAATATTCAGAAAAAATGAAAAATGCGAAAGAAATAGAAGCAATGGATGAAGTAAGTATATATATATATATTTATTTACTTCAGCTTACAGCCAAGAAGTGGACTTGGTTTACAATAGTACTTAACTCATTCACTCCTGCATACTTATTCTATTTCTCTCTCTTTCTTCCTTACGTATCGTGCCTAGTGACTAGTTTATATTATTTACATTTCTTTTCCTCCTTTCTCCTGTACTCTCTCCTCTTTTTCTTTTTTTAAACCTCGCAGTCTGCATTCTCTTTCTATCCAAAGCTTCCTAATAGTGTACCCTTTTTCCTTATCTAATTCGTCGCTCCATATCTTATCTCTTATCTCTTTGTTTTTGCCTAATTTCTTAAACCAGTGTGATGTTATACTGCATTCCTTTATATAATGTTCAAGACTATCCCATCCCGTATTACAAAAAACGCAAGTTCTTTCTTTTTCTTCTAGCCAGTATTTGTTGTATCTTTCTAGATTACCGCATCTCAGATTCATCAGCGCTCTGACCTTATCCCCTGACGCATCCTCTGGATGAAGTAAGTATATACATATGTATTATAGTAACATAAGTATATATTTATAGGTTAGATAAATTTCTTATTTTTTCTCTGTACCTCTTATTGTATTTCGCTTCCCTAATCCTACCTTCTTCCCATTGTCTTTGTCTGTCTCCTTCTCTTTTTTCTACAATAATTCTTTTATCATATTCCTTTCCTCCTTCGGCATGCTATCTACTGCAATAATACCCCATCCATTTCTATTATATTATCTAGAACCTTTAAGTGATCCTTATAGTCTCCTTTTCTATTAAACGCAAAGCCAAGGTAACTGAAAAATTGCACCTCTTCTAATTTTTCATATTAATATTATTAATTTGTATTTCTTATATTGTAGGAAACTGTATCGATACCGTACACCTGTGGTGTGTGCGAAACTACTTTTGATAAAACATCAGAATTATTGAAACATCCTTGTTTGCTAGATTATAACAAGTGTCAAATAGATGCAAATTTTTATGTTTATCCTGCACTCGGTAAGTATTATAGTGACAAATTTTTTTATTGCATATTTTATTACATATTTTAAGTAAGAAGTATAATTAGGGGATGTTATTAATACATGCAGATGATGGAAAAATTCTACATAAGAGTTTGGTGGATAGTGCAGAGATTATTGATGTTACGGAAACCAGCAAAGTCCCAAACCAAAAGACTGATGCAAGTAATTGGCGAAATATAAGAATTATAGAAGAGGAACGTTTAATCGACGAAATTTGTAAACGTCCGCCGTTATGGAATTTTAAACTTCCCCTTATCGAAAGAAGCCTGCAAATAAAAAAAACTGGGAAGTAACAGAAGCAATGGATGGTAGTATTTAATAGTCATAATTTAACTGGACTAAAATTCGTTCATATTAAAATATTTTTCTTTTCTAGGTAAAATGGACATTATAGCAATTACAACAGCTGCGCGTCGCCTCTTAATCTCTGCTGCAACTGTGGCTGTCACAAGTCTATATTCTTCCATATCTGTGATGTTTAATTGATAATTATCCATTTTTTATAGTAAAATGTTCCAAGATTAAAAACACTCCTTTTACGTTCTTAACCTTCTCACCAATTTAATACAAGCTAAAAAGCCAGCGTTAAAATGCTCCATGAAAAAGTAGGAGCGATAGCTTTAACTTTTTAACGCTGGAATTTCATTGCGGCGAAGTGGGGGTAAAAGCCAGCTTTTCTACGCTCACATGAAATTTCAGCTTAAGGGTGCATCCCGATGGAGATAGAAACAGCGGAACGGAACAGTAAAGGCCTTTGCACGTAAAAAAGCATTAACCGTAACCGTAATTTTAGTCCATAACCTACGGACCCTACGTAATTTTAGTCCGTAACCTTAGGAATTTTACTTGGGTTGCTCCATCTGTCTGTACGTGTTGAAAACTACGATTACGGACTAAAATTACGGTTACGGTTAACGCTTTTTTACGTGCAGAGGCCTTAACGGAAAGGTAACTAGATAAAAGGCTAAAGGCCTTCACACATAAAATTCCGTAAGGACGTAAAACGTAAGCGTAAGAAAATCAACAGGTTGGATTTGCTACTGCTTGCGTCATTGCCTTACGTTCTCGACTGTGATTGGTCGATTTTCTTATGTTTACGTTTTACGTCCTTACGGAATTTTATGTGTGAAGGCCTTAACCAATCAGAATGATTCCGTTCCGCTTTTTCATAGCCGAGTTCCCCATGGCAGACATTTTAGCGGAACGGAACGAAAACGGATACTACCATGGACCTAAGAATCTCTGGACCGAGCACGAAGTGGGAGAACGGGCAAGGGGGCTGGTAAATTTGCGGTAAGGGGGGGGCGAGAGTACTCTCCTTTTCTGTCCTCTTGGTATCTCATGGTATCTCTTTCTACAAGAGGTGAATGTGTCCTCTTGTAGAAAGAGATACCAAGAGGGACAGAAAAGGAGAGCACTCTCGCCCCCCTTACCGCAAATTTGCCAGCCCCCTCGCCGTATGCTCGGTCCAGAGATTCTTAGGTCCATGGATAATACATAACCCGTAAAGATCTGTGTGCAAGAATGGATCAAAGGTTAGGTCCGAAAATGATTAGAACGTCACTTCCCTGCTGAAAATACCCGATTCAAACCGATAGATATCGCATTGATTTCTATAAAAATTAATCGGTTTCAATTCGATATCAATCGGGCCAATCGGGCACCGGATTGGTGGAAATGCAAGATCAATCGGATTCAATCCGTAATCTGATTCAATCCGGTATTTCCAGATAGAATCGAAGCAGTAACAGTCGGTTTCTATCGGATTTTCTTACGAAGTCTGTCAATCGTTATTAATACAACTTTTCCGGATTGACTTGAATCCGCGCCAATCGGTTCCAATCGGCGAACTTTTATCACGGGTTGAAACCGATAGACGCGGATCAAAATCTATCTGGAAATTCCTGATTGAACACGATTCAAATCTGACCCTATCCGCGTCAATCGGTATATTCCGCATCAAGAATCCAGATTCATGCGGATTCAAAATTTTCAATCGGTTTTAATCGGGTATTTTCAACAGGGTTGCTTTTAGCGAATATAATGAACAACTATTTACAATATTTACAGAGTGCTAATGTTCGGGGGTTCTCCCCGCGCGTATCGGAGAGATTTGGTAGCGAGATCCGCGAGCAGCGAAAGTCCGACAGTTCACGCGAAGTAGGAAAAGCCGATCGGTTGCAATCTCTTGACACACAGAACAAAAACATTAAGCGAGACTAGATTTCGCGCAAAGAGCAAGGTGGCCAGTGTGTCCACTCTTTTATACTATAAAGGCTTCGCGAACCTTCGATGCTCCAGATCGCCGGTAGCGGGTGACAGACCAATCAAGCCTACGACATATCATTTGTAACACTATATAGGTTACAACACATCATTTGTAACACGATCTGGAGC